TTTTTTTTTTTTTTTTTTTTTTAATTGGGTGCCAGGCTGGACAGAGGAAGCTAAAGGGCCTTCGGGGAGCTTACGGTGACACCCACACAATGGTGATGAGCTAGAGAAGGGCAGGGGCCTCGGGGGGTGGGGGTGGGAGAGGAGCCCCTCCACTTGGGAAGAGGGATCTGGACGTCACAGAGAAGGTCCCAGGGAAGTGGCCTTGGAAGACTGCTCAGGAGAGAAGGGGCCACGGGGGGCTGGGTGCGGGCACCTCACCTGGGTCCACAGCCAGAAGGGCGGCCAGCAGCACAGGCAAGACCTTCATCCTGGAGGGACTGGTATCCTGTGCGCCTCACAAAACCAGGAATCCTGCCCTGCTCTGGGGCACAATGCGCGTCCTTCCCTACGTTGGTAGATCCGCTAGTCCTGTCAGTGGGTGTCCCTGCTGGACAGATGGGGAACTGAGGCCAGACCCCTCCCCACCCCCGCCTGCCCTGCCCTGGCTCATCCGCAGGGGCTTTGAGCTGACCATCAGCCGGGGGGCATGAGCCCTGAGGCCGTGCGTGCCTGCCCCAGGCACAGAGGCCCAGGCACCGGGTAGAGAGAGGACTTGGAAAGGGGACCAGTGGGGCTTTGCTTCTTGTTTTGCACGTGTCCAGGTGGCATGGTGTGGGAGCTGGGGCCTTCTGCCTGGCCCACCAACCAGCAGGAAAGAGGGGCAGAGAGCAGACACAGGTGGGCTGACAGAGACTGCCGTGGAGGGCGGCAGGCCCTGGGGAATGGGCCAGCCTCTCCTGCCAAGGCCAGCCCTGGGCCAACACCAGTGGTAGGAAGCAGGGCCACAGAGGGCCAGAGCAGCTTGGTGATCCAGGCCAGTCCCTGGCTCCAGGCAGCCCCAGGAAGAAAGAACCTGCTTCCCACTTCACAAAAGGAGGAGCCCTGAGCTGTCCTCCAGGAAGCCCTGGCACGCAGGGAGTCTCTGGGCCCGCCGCACCCCACCCACACGCAGCATCAGGCTTCCAAACCTAATGGCTGGCCGGCTCCCAGCGCTGTGTGAGCAGAGGGAGCCCGAGGGGAGGGCAGCGCCTTCCGCAGGCCCTCCACCTGGCCACCAGACCTCATTCCCGGAAGGTCGCTTAGTAGTGGTAGCCAGGCCAGCAAGACAGGAGCGCCCTTCCGGGACCCCGGGAAAGGGGCGCGAGGGGGGTGCAGCGGCCCAAGTCCGTGGCCCTGGCTCCAGGGCACGGCGCTTTCACACATTATCTTGTCAAAAACGGGCGCTAACACCCTCTGCCCTGGGACAGGTGCTGGTTCCCCTCGGTTAACCCGCGAGGGCAGTTAACTCGCCTTTTCCTCCCCGGGCCTCCCCCACCCCAGGATGCTGCGCCCCTCCCCAGACGCCACGCTGGAGTCAGGGAGAGGGAGCGTTAGGTGGTGGGCTCCTGGTTGGGGCGCAGCCCAGGGCCGGCTCCTGTCCCGGATCCCTGAATCAGCTGAGAGGGCTGGGGAAGGGGACAGAGCTCGCGTCCCCGGCCACCACCACGCGGCCCCGTCCCCCGCTCCCTCTCCGCTCCTCCGCGGACGCCCCCGCGCGCTGCAGGAAAGCGCCTGCTGCGAGGACGCGCAGCCCCGGCCGCCACCCTTCCCGGCCCGCGCCGCGGCCGCCTGGCCCGGGACTCACCGCCAGCGGAGCCGCTAACAGGCCAGAGCAACCCGAGTCTCGCGCGCCAGCTCCGCACCTCTGCGCCCAGGGCTCCCGGAGCTCCCAGGCCAAGCGCGCCGGCGCGGGGGTGGGGCCTCGCGCGGGGCGGGGCTCCGGGCAGGCGCACGGGGGAGGGGCTGCTGGCGGCCAGGCCGCGGCTGCCGGGGGTCTGGGGGCCGTCCCTTCTCTCGGGCGCCCCACCTGTCTCCACTGCCGCCTGGGCTCGCCCCCGGCTCCATTTTACCTGCGGGAAGACTGAAGCCCACGGGGTGGGACCTCAGCGCCCCTGGCTGCTGACAGCCAGGGATGGCAGTGCCAGGCCAGGCAGGTGGCTAGGTCAGCGTGACATCTGGACTGTGTGGGTAGGCCTTGCCCCGGGGGCTCTGACAGGAGTGGGAGAGGATGGAGGCGGGAGATGCTCCCACGCAGGCCCGGGAGCCAGGGGCAACCAGACCCATTTGGGGCTGAGCTCGGAGGAAGGAATACGCCTCGGGCGCCTGGGCACCATGTGGGCAGGGGTGGGCGCAGCACAGCAGGTCCTGGGGCTCCCAGCGCCGTCTGCCCTCCCCGCGCCCAGTCTGGGCTGCCGTGTTCCTTGGCCCTCCCCCACATCTGAGAGAAAGGACAAGGCGTCAGGGACTGGGGCCTGGCATTCTGGTTTCTGTGGCTTCCAGGCCGCGGTTTTGGCCCACAGTGACCTCACGCAGGAGACCAGGGCTGCATCCGGGTCTTCTGCGGACTTAGGCCCCCTCCTCCATCAGCCCTCAGTGCCCTGGCACCCCTAGTCCAGTGTGTGGGGAGGGTCTTTCCAGCAGGCCTGAGCGTGTACCTGCGTGGAGTGGCCGTGCAAGGAGTGCCGGAACTCGGCCTGAGCGCAAAGCCTCGTCTGTTTCCGGGTGCCTGTTTAGTGCCATCTTCAACAAGTGTTTGTGAGCACCTACTGTGTGCAGAGCCCTGGGCTGTGCCCACCACCCACCCAGCTGAACGAGTGGCGTCAGCCCTCAATGCCACAGAGCTGTCTCCCTTCTGTGGTCCTCTCCCCATCTTGCTGAACCCTGCCCTGCTGTCCCTGCCCTGTCCTGCAGCCCAGACCCTGTCTTGTGGCAGGGGTGGGGCAGTGGGGCAGTGGGAGTCCCCAAGGTGTGTGGTCCGCCTTCTCCCACCCCCACTGTCAGCCTCCCTTCTCTGCTAGGAGCCACCAGCCACCGGCCACTGGCGAGTCTCTGCCACCTGCTTGCTTGCTTGGTCTCCCATTTCCAGCACATATCCTGTGAGAGCACCTCTGCCTGACCTTTCCTCCCAACCTGGGTGGCAGCTGCGGGGGCAGTGGGGAAGGGCTGCAGGGGGAGGGGCTGCTGAAAGAGGGTTCGGGTTAGGGTGGCAGAGCAGAGGAACTGGGGGAGGATGGGGCTGGGGCTATGCTCCTGCCGCTCTGTGTGTCTTTAGGGTCCCGGGCTCTGGGCCGGCTTCTCCGTGCACTGCCTTCCCTGACGCCCAGATAGCCTGAGCCCCTGAGCACGGACAGGTCACTTGGGAAGCTCCTGGGGCTCATCCCTGGGTGGCTGAAGGTGCAAAACTGGCCTGAGGGTGAGGTCTGCCCTCTAACTTCATGAGGGGTCGGAGCACCGGGATCAACAGCCCAAAGCTGGTTCCTATGAGGCTAAAATAAGAGCCCTCCACCCTTTGACCAGCGCCCCTCCAGACACACCCTACTTCTGTGCTGGCTTCAGTAATTCACTGCAGCAGCTACAAAGAACTCACAGACAACGGTCGTGATCGTGGGGCTTGTTAGGGAAGGAACAGGCTACACTTCAGGGTCAGAAGCTCTTCAGGGCCCAGTTCTTGGATCAGGGCACCCTCTTCCCAGCCGTGCTGCAGGTATAACTTCTCTCTGGCCTCGGCCTCTGGCCTGCTTGGGCCAGTCTTTCAAAGCTCTTTTAGCTCTGCTGGTAGGTGCACTTCACTCTGCCAGCCAGCCTCCTGCCCGAAGGCACCCGGCTTTCTCACTCCGTGGGCCGGCAAGCCCTCTGCTCTGTCTCGTGCTAGCGTCTCAGGTCTGCGGCCTCCGCTGCGTCTCACCATCTCCCCACCACCTCTCACCATCTCAGCAGAGTGTTACAGTTCTCTGTCTGTCCCCTGAATCCAGGAGGCTCAGTGCAGGCATCTTGGGTCCAAAGATGGACACGCTGCACTTGGGTCTGTCTTTCTTCCTGGCAGTAGGGTCCCCCTCTCTCTTCTGAGAGATCTTGTTTTAAGCCTAGCAGTTCCATATCCCTTATTCCGTATCCCTTATTTCCATGGTCCCTGTGGGGTCCATGGCCCTTGGGGGACTCTCTCCAGTCCCCTTGGGGGCCCACAAGCCGCTCACGTCTGCATGTTCCCACCCAGCCATCTAGGGAAGTCACAAAGACCATATTCAGTAACTGCACAGCACAGGGCCACCTGAGTCACCCCGACTGGCTGGGTTCAGCCTGGGGGTGGGGGGATTCTCAGCTGTTCCAGGGACAAGGGCCACCAGGGGGTGGTGGTCCCAGTTGCCTCTTGGTCCTTCTAGCTCCTCACCTCAGGGGGCACAGGTGGGATCTGCCTGGGCGCCTGGCCTTATCTCGCACCCGTGGAGCTGTGTTGCCGTGGCTTGGAGGGCAGCAGTGGGTCAGCGGAGTTCTCGCCTTCCGTGTGGGAGCCCCTGCTTCGCTTCCCAGCCCCACCCGTCTGTCCGCGGAGGCTGAAGGGCGGCTGTGATGCTGAGCAGGTTCCAGTGGAGATTCCAGACTGAGACCAGGGAGAAAGGGCTGCCGACCGACTTCTGAACGTCAGCCGACGGAAGCCCTGGGGTCGGATCCCGTCCGCGGCAGCGACGCCACACTCTGGGCTTGTCGCAAATGGGGAGAGCAAGGGGGACTCCAGCCATCCTGGAGCCCTCCACCTTGAGCCCAAATGGCGTTTGGCTAAGGACATGCCTGTCCTGGGGTCCCAGGGGCCACAGATGGTGCTCAATTCCAGCCTAGCCAGAGGTGCGTCAGAAGACAGGCCTGGCAACCGTCTGCACCTGGGAAACCCCATGGGGCAGGTCTACTCTGTACACCTGGGTCGGAGTCCACGTCAGTCCACACTCAGTACTGGTATCAACACTCTGTGCTAGTATCCACACCAAAAAAAAAAAAAAAAACCCAACCACCAAACTCACTGCCGTGGAGTCGAATCAGACTCATAGCGACCCCTCCTTGGGTTTCCGAGGTGGTATCTCTATGGAAGTAGATCGCCCAACCTTCCTTCCGAGGAGTGGCTGGTGGGTCTGAACCACCAGCCTTCTAGTCAGCAGTCAAGTGCCTCAGGCACTACGCCACCAGAGCTTAGGTTTTGTATTTGTGGCTTGCCTATTGTCTGCCCAGGAGCTCTGGTAGCATAGTGGCTAAGACACTTGCCTGCTACCCAGACGGCTGGTGGTTCAAACCCACCAGCCACTCCTCGGAAGGAAGGTTGGGCAATCCTACTTCCGTAGTGATACTGCCTCGGAAACCCAAGGAGGGGTCGCTATGAGTCGGGTTTGACTCGACGGCACATAACAACAACAACAACATTGTCTGCCCACAATGGGCAGTGGGAAGTCCAGTGGTTAACAC